ATCTAAAACCAGTTTTCAATTATATCATGTAATTTTTTTAAAGAATTAAAAAGTTTTGATTACAATTTTAATTGTGTTCTTAATTTTTTAAAAGTTTAATCTAACATTTACGAATTTATTAGAAACTTTTGAAGTTTCATTTAAAAATTCAATTTCAAAGTCGCAATTTCTTTCAACTGAATCAAAGAAAAATCTCAATAATTTAACAAACAGAAGTTACTGACAATTTTAAAAGTAATAGAATTTATTATGAAATATATTACGTTCGTTATAAATATAGTTATGCAACTTCACGTCATGCCGAACCTAGCATAACCAAATCCTGAACCGTATCGTCCCGTTGAAGACACGCTTCGCGTGGACCAAGTGTTGGTGACATCCAAGCTATCATTTTTTATTTCCAACATTTCCTCATTTCATCACTAGGAAGAATCGTTCCTTGCATGCGTAGAACTAACTGAGATTTAACAATCACAATTCCAGATAGCACACAAAAAATACCAAGAAATTTTCTACAATATTTTTACTGATATATACATAAAGAATATTTTTTAAATATAAAACGCAGGAGGTAAGATATACGTTACAAAATTTTTTTTAGAAATAAAACAACAAAATATGTAGTTCCTAATAAAACAAAAACCATTTAAATTCTTGATTCTTTTAGTACTAAAATTAAATATTTGTTTCCATTCATATCCAACTGTTTGATAGAGAAATTATATCAAAAACGAATTATTAAAAAATATTTAAATTCCTTTCTATTTGATATGCAAAATTCTAGCAAAAACGAATTATTAAAAATTGTTTCCATTCATATCCAACTGTTTGATAGAAATTCTATAAAATTATATAAAAAGTAATTAATTAAAAATTGTTTCCATTCGTATCCAATTATTTGATGGAAATTCTATCAAAAACGAATTATTACAAATTGTTTCCATTTACATCCAACTGTTTGATATAAATTCCCTTAAATTATATCAAAAACAAATTATTAAGAAATGATTCCATTCTTTTCTAGATATATTTAATGAAAATTCTTTTGAATTATGACAAAAATGATTTATCAAAAATTGTTTGCATTCATATCTATAACTGTTTGATAGAAATTCTATCAAATTATATAAAAAGTAATTAAATTAAAAGTTGTTTACATATCCAACTATTTGATGGAAATTCTATCATGTTCTATTAAAAACGAATTATTAAAAATTGTTTTCATTCATATCCAAAAGTTTGATAGCAATTTTATGAAATTATATAAAAAGTAATTAATTAAAATTTGTTTCCTTCATATCCAATTATTTAATGAAAATTCTATCAAATTCTATGAAAATTGAATAATTACAAATTCTAATAATTAAATAATTAAATTATTTAAATTGTCCTTTCTATCTATTTGATAGAAATTTTTATCAAAAACGAATTATTAAAAAATATTTAAATTCCTTTCTTTGATATACAAAATTCTAGCAAAAACGAATTATTAAAAATTGTTTCCATTCATATCCAACTGTTTGATAGAAATTCTATAAAATTATATAAAAAGTAATTAATTAAAAATTGTTTTCCCAATCGTATCCAATTATTTGATGGAAATTCTATCAAAAACGAATTATTACAAATTGTTTCTATACCTTTCTATCTATTTGATGGAAATTCTATCAAATTATATCAAAAAAGAATTATTAAAAATTGTTTCCAGATACATGCAATTTTGTGATGGAAATTATATCAAATTATATAAAAACTAATTAATTAAAAATAGTTTTCTTTGATATCCAAATGTTTTATGGAAATTCTATAAAAATAATATAAAAAACGAAAGATTAAATATTGTTTTTATTCATAACCAACTGTTTAATGGAAATTCTATCGAATTATATCAAAAACGAATAATTACAAATTGTATGAAATATGGAATATAAATAGTTGATGGAAATTCTATCAAAAACGAATTATTACAAATTGTTTCCTTTCCTTATTCTATCTATTTGAAGGAAATTCTATCAAAAACGAATTTTTAAAAATTCTTTCCATTTATATCCAACTGATTCATGGAAATTCCACAAATTATATAATAACTAATTAATTAAAAATTTTTTCCATTCCTGTTTGACTATTTGTTAGAAATGCTATCAAATTCTATCAAAAAGGAATTATTAATAATTGTCTCAATTCATATCCAACTGTTTGATGGAAATTCTATCAGAGACGATTTATTAAAAATTGTTTCTATTCCTTTGTATCTATCTGATGAAAATTCTATAAAATTATTATATCAACAACTAATTATTAAGAATTTTTTCTAATTAATTAAAGAAAAGGAATTTATCCTTTGGTAATAATTATTAAATTAAAGGTGAAAGAAGTTAACAATTTCTCAGAATCAATGTTCTCACTAGAGCATCTTAAATCTCATGTATATCGACAGTGCAACTGCCCTAATACAGAAATCTGCTTTTTCAGAAAATATATTTTTCGAAATTACTTAATAATTTCTAAAATCTCGAAGAACTCAGAAAAACTCTTTTTATTTATATCCAACTGATTCATGGAAATTTTACAAATTATATAATAACTAATTAATTAAAAATTGTTTCCACTCCTTTCTGACTATTTGTTTGATGGAAATTCTATCGAATTATATCAAAATCGAATAATTACAAATTGTATGAAATATGGAATATGAATAGTTGATGTTAATTCTATCATGTTCTATTAAAAACGAATTATTGAAAATTGTTTCCACTTATATCCAATTGTATGATGATGGAAATTATATCAAAAACGAATTATTAAATGGGATTGTTTCCATTTATATCCAACTGTTTCATATAAATTCAACCAAATTATATCAAAAACGAATTATTAAAAATTGTTTCCATTCCTTATTTTATCTATTTGATCGAAATTCAAGCAAATTCTATCAAAAATGAATTATTAAAAATTGTTTCCCTTTATGTCTAATTATTTTATGCAAATTCTATTAATTTCTATAAAAAACGAATTATTAAAAATTGTTTTCACTTATATCCAATTGTATGATGGAAATTATATCAAAAAACGAATTATTAAAAATTGTTTTTATTTATATCCAACTGTTTGATAGAAATTCCTTTAAATTATATCAAATACAAATTATTAAGAAATGATTCCATTCTTTTCTATATATTTAATGGAAATTCTATTGAATTATACCAAAAATGAATTACTAAAAATTGTTTGCACTTATATCTAACTGTTGGATAGAAATTCTATCATTGAAAATTGTTTTTCATTCATATTCAACTATTTGATGGAAATTCTATCCTGTTCTATTAAAAACGAATTATTAAAAATTGTTTCCTTTCATATTCAACTGTTTGATGGAAATTCTATCAAATTCTATCATTGAAAATTGTTTTTCATTCATATCCTACTATTTGATGGAAATTCTATCAAATGAAATGAACACAAAAAATTCATACTTCAACTTGGCGGCGGTTTAATTTTTGTAATTATATATTTCATATCAAAAAAAAATTTTCCATAAGAATTTAACTTGTGCCCAATACTGGTAGAAGACCACCTCTGTTCTGGAGACTAAAAATCATGAAGCAAATGAATCGAGCATAATCATAGAGATAATATAAATAGAGTGGAGATGGTCTGTATAGAGGCGTCCGTTTGATAGAAAGAGAACGCAATTTTAGCACCAGTAGGTGTCTCTCTTGCGCTGGTGCTTATTGAAGGACAGATACTGGTGTTAAATCTTTCTTCTCTTTCCAACCCATTCTGTTTATGTCAGGACACTTCCCTCTTACGCAGCCGCCTATACCTTGTCTACTCTATTTATATTATCTCTATGAGCATAATTCGGTTTCGCCTCGTCACGAGATGGCGCGCAGAAGTTTTCGTTGGAAAGTGACGTTCCTCTACATCACCCATCCTTGCCTCTTGTTACGTCTAACTGCACAACCTTTATTATTATAGAGAATGCTAATAAAAGATGAAGGTATAATGGTGCATTTACACCTTCTATTAAAATTTTTTTTTTTTCTTTCCTTTTTCAAAATGCACAAACCTAATTGGTTGTCCGCAATTAATGGAAAAAATTTGCACATTTTGAATAATACAAAAAAAGGAAATTTTTAACAAAAGATATTAGGTAGTTCAAGTTGGGTGGGGGAAAATCCAAGATGTCGATTATCTGGTACAAAACTTTACACTGAAAGTATATGGGATAAAATCTATTTTTTTAAATATCTCGTGCAAATGAAATTTTGAAATAAAATTAATTTAAAAAAAAACCAAATCGTTCTTTCTTCTACTTTGTTCTTAATGCAAAGAAAGAAAGTTCTTAGAAAGTTCTTTAAAAAGAAAGACCTAATATGCTTAGGTTCGAAAATTTCATTTGAACGAATTAATTAAATTAGATTTTATTATTTCATTTGAATGAAATAATTAAATTAGATTTTATTCCATAAATACTTTCAATGTAAAGTGTTTGCACCAGATAATAGACATCTTGGATTTTTTCCCACCTATCTTGAACAACCTAATAGGTTTGGCAGTAATAGTTGTAAACCGCCATCATTTCTATGTGATTTCACCTTTATGATTCTTTGTACTGCTTTTTCATGGGCCAAATTGGTATAGATTTTACCGCCTGATTCTTTCTCTACACACTAAAAAAATAAATGTAATTTTAGATACATACTGAGTATGTGCGAAAAAAATCATCCCTGAGTGTGTTCTTTTTACAAGATTTGTGTAATTTTATTAGTTCAAACAGTAAAATTAAATAAAAAATTGAACATATTTTTATAAATACTACATTGATAAGATGATTAACTTTAAATGTCTTTGTAAATGCCCAATCACGAATAAAATTACACACTCAGTAATGTGAGAAAAAAACCACCAATCAGAATGGATAAATTTACAACAGTGATTGGACATTAACAACGCGTTTTTTTTTGTCTCTATTTAGTACTATAAATTTACACGATCGTGTATTTATAACCTCAAAAACGATTATATCGAATAAAGTAAAATCACCAAAATTTTTTCAATTAAATTTATTACAGAATCATGTGATTTTACTGTTTGAACTGTAAAATTTAAGTTGTTTAAGTCTTCATGAGTTTTCTATTTATTTAGAAACCGGTATTATTATCATTAGTGAACTGTGGTTATTAGTTAATAATGAAGTTATTTCACACAGATTGAATAAAGACTATATTTTGTAAATTGTGAAAATTCTAGTTAAATGCTTTCATTGAATTTTGATCTTAGTGGTTAAAAAATAAAATGTTTTAGCATTCTTTACTGAAAAAGTATATTGCATATTACGAACTACAATGGTGGATAATAGCTGTATTATCGAGGGAAATGTCAAATTTCGAGATGGAAAGAAGGTTAGTTATTTTATTAACTACGTCTAATGCAGGATGGAAAAAAGTTATAGAAAATATACTTTCTTCATCTAGTCTATGTTTATTATACTTTCGGAAAGTGTTTTACTGGGAAATTGTTACTTATGGCTCAATGTAAACACAATCCAAAGAACGATGCTGAAAAACAGTCAAAAATTTACCTAAAATAGGAATATGTAAAAATAGAATAGATTTTGACCTGCTGAATTGGAAAATAAATTTAAAAATCGTAAAATATGAAGAATTAACATTAAGAAGACATGTTTACACTATAATTTAATAATTGAGTAACAACAATAACAGCCGGAATGTTAAATGTTCAATTTAACTCCTACCAATATAAAAAACCACCCCTCTAAATATACTTGTACTACTACTATACCACTAAACAACTTACACAAAAAAAACCTAGAAAACAATGAAACATTAATCTAATAATTTTTACTTGAGTAATAATTACTCTTTACAACCTACTGAAAATTCCTATATAAGATCTTACGTACTATATGGAAGCCTATTAAATAACCCATATGAAATCCCAGATTAATTATAGGAATCCATATGGAAATCCAAAAAAAAACCGTATGTGAAATTGGATCGCTATCATTTTCTCCAAAACCCTATTGACGGAATATCCAAATGTCAAAAACTTATTTCTCCGAATACTTATGTAATCTCAAGTCAACTGATCAGACAACTTAATTCACAAAAACTCCATCCTAGTCAGAATGTTTAAATTCCCGAATCTCCATTTGCTAGAATATTTAACTTTCAAACACTCCATTTTTCAGAATATATTTAACTTTACCCCTAATAACACAAGATATCTTGGGATATATTAATAATATCCCGCAGATATCCTAGGGATGTCCTATGGATATCAAAAGGATCTCTTAAGGATATCCAAAAAATCGGCGGTTTGGATATCCCATGGATATCTGAGGATATCCACTGGATATCTCTAAAGACTTTCATAAATGTCCTCCAGATATCCCATACATATCGTCAGGATATCCCACAGATATTTTCAGGATATTCTCAGTATACCTTCTGGATGTCAAGAAGATATTCTCAGGATACTGCTTTTAAAGTCATTATGAGTCTACAAGTGAGAATATTCTGTGAATTAAATTTTATATAAATAAAATAAAATGTTTTTCAAGAAAGTTGTTTAATTTGAAAAATTATTAACTAATTTTTTTCTCATTCGTGATTCATTCCTTTATTTAATATTGTCAGAAAATAAATTGGCTTTAAACAATATAAATTCTTCCCCGCAAATAACGAATAACTATTAATATTAATTATACATCAACTGCATGAGTTTATTTAAAAACTTTGAAAAATGCGTTTCAAATCTTCATTTAAAATAAATTAGAAGCTCATAAGATTTTTCTTTTTATTATATTATTATTCATTATATTAGCTTAACAATTTTAACCTTTAAAAATATATGTTGAGATATTAAATATCCCACAGATATCCTGAGGATATCCCATGGATATCCTTCGATATAATATTCAATAGATATTTTGTGGATGTCTTAGGGATATCCTATGGATGTCCCACAGACCGGCGGTTTGGATATCCTAGGGATATCCTATGTATATCCCAAGATATCCTGGGGACCATTCTAGGATATTAAATATCCCGTGAATATCCTAAGAATATCCCATGGATATCCTGAGGATACCCATATATATCCTGCGATATAATATCCAATAGATATTTTGTGGATGTCTTAGGGATATCCTGTGGATATCCTATGGATGTCCTGTTTATGTCCCACAGACCGTCGGTTTGGATATCCTGGGGACCATTCTAGGATATCGACCATTGATATGGATATCCTAGGGATATCCTTTTGTTATACGGGACGAATCTCTATTTGTCAGAATAATTAACTTCCCAAATTTTCATTTGCCATAATATTTAACTTGCCGAATTTACATTTGTCAGAATATTGAAATTAACAAATTTCCATACGTCCGAATATTTAATTTCCCGACTCCCCATTTGTTAGAATATTTAACATTTTGGATTTCCATTTTACATAATATTTAACGTTCCGAATTTTCGTTTGTCATTAATATTTAACATACCGAAATTCTAGTTGTCAGAATATTGAAATTACCGATTTTGCATTTGTCCGAATATTTAACTTCCCGATTCTCCAGTCGTCAGAATATCTAATTTCTCGAATTTTCATTTGTCATAATATTTAACTTTCCAAATTCCAATTGTCAGAATATTTAACTTTTCAAATTACAATTGTCAGAATATTTAACATTCCGAATTGCAATTTGTCAAAATATTTAACATTCCGAATTGCAATTTGTCAAAATATTTAACATTCCGAATTTCCATTTGTCGCATAATATCTAACTTCCCAAAATCATGTAGATTCTTAAATGTAAACATAAAATTTCACATGAATTTATATAAGGGAAACAATGTACGATTTTGGGTGGGAATTTCCAGATGACTGCGTCATGCAAACGAAAGTTTAAAAATTAAAAATCATAACCTACAAAAGATCCTACATGCATCCCTTCATATATGTAGAAATCCATATGAAAATTCATATAGAATCTTATGCTGAATCTTAAATGAGATCCTACATATGTTCTTATATAGATTTCTACATAAGATCTCAGGTAAGAATTTATCATATGCTCTCTAAATCTGAATTAGCGACTATTTGCTTTGAATTAGTGACCATTCGCTTATTTCTAGCGCAGAGTATGCAGCTGGGAATAAGTGAATAATCACTAATTGAAAATTCGCTGATTACTAGCGAATAGTCGCTATTTTAATCAGCCCAGAGTATGCAGCTACGAATAAGCGAATAGTCGCTAATTCAAATTTAGAGAGTGGGAATCCATATAGAATGTTATGTGTGAACTTCACTGTTTTAGTTATCCGTATAAGATAACAAATACGAAATTATATGGGAAATTTCAATAGAGATGTAAGGTAAAAGCAGCAGTACCTGAACAAAGCAAAAATTGGTACCAGTAGATGGACAGTAGCAAAAAGAAATTAAAATAGCCCTCAAATTAAGTAAAAATAATTTGAGATACTCTTTAGATAAGTAGTTAGCTTTTTGACAGAGTAAAATTTATTAATTGAAGGAGCAAAAAAAAATACATAAAACGAATGCTCTAAAATTGCTGTCCAAGTTAACCTACCGCTTTGTATGTGATATCCAATAGTTGGACAAAGATTTAATTCAATTAACTTAATCAATTTAATGAATTTAGTTAATATAATTATTTTAATTATAATTTAATTACTTAATTTATTAACTAATAAAAATAAATAAATTATTATTTAATTTACTTATTTAATGTCCAACTGCTACGGCTTTCGAAAGCCAACTTCTGCTGCAAATGAGCAATTTCATTTGGAAAATCATCATTACTATTATTTTCTTCTTCATCTTTTTCTCCATGTTCATTGTTTTGGTTGCTAAGTCAGAAATTAAAATTTAAAAACTATTGCCTTACTTTTTTTGTATGTACTTGTTAAATATGAAAATTATAAACTTACCCACGATATATTTGTTGAATATTAAAAATTTCCCCATCAGAATCATTTCTATCAATATTGAGCCAATTCTGTAAATCTTCAGATGAACAATTATTTAATCCTGGAATTCGACTAAGAAGTGGAAAACTATCTTCAATAGAATTATTTCCATTGTTGCAAGCGTTGTTATCATCATCATCAGGAACAATTATTTATTTAGAGAGAATATCTTTTAATACATTCAAGAGCGTTATTAAAAATTATATCGTTACTCAATGTTAAATATTAGGTTCCGATAAATGTAACTTTAATACAATGGAGTCAAAGAACCTTTTTAAATTTTTTCAAAGTATTTTTAGCTTTACCTTTACCCTATAAAAGAATCATTTTATATTAGGCAAAGCACGATTATTCCTCGTTGACAGTGATAATTTATAATTTATAGTAATTAAAAAAATTTTTAAAAACGCAGTAAATTTTGATATTTAACTCTTTTTTTTCTTTTCAGTGGAAATCACGATGGTGTGTCATGAGAAAATTATCACCAGTAGCAGGTAAATAAACATGATGATTCTGTTTTGTCTATTTATCTTATAAATTTTAGAAGAATTAACTAAAACCTTTGTTGTGTTTCCTTTTTCCATTTCCTCTCAGTAATACCATTTCTTTAGATATAAGGGTATATTTTTGGTCATGTAATTAAAGGTTCGCGTAGGCGATTACTACCTCGATACCATTTTGGATTTGGGTTAAGGTTACCCCAAGTTTCGTACATGACCAATATGCTTGCACTATTATCTTCAACAATAAGAACTCTATTAGAAAAAATTAAAGTGTTTAAAAAAATTGGTAATATTTAATTTCAGATTGTCTACACTTGCAACTTTATGGAGATAGCAAGGATAGATTTAAAAATGCACATACAAAAGCGTCATTGAGTTTACAACATTTTCTTGGTGTACAAAGTGGATTCACACTTGATAAGGAATCAAACACCATTGCCATAATCTGTCGAGATATAATTGTAGTTCTTGCATTTGATACAAGGGAACGTTTGATACAGTGGCAGGTTAAAATATCAAATAATTTAGGAGAAGGTATGTAATAATAATTAAATGATTTTAAATTATGAATATTTTAAAATTAAAACACATTTGTTTCAGATCGTCAATTTTTGGTGCTCATTGCCACTGCCGCATCTAAAGGAAAAATAAATAATGGTCCAGCACATCTTTGTGTTCAAAATTACAGATTTTGTATCACAGTTGGAATTCCACCGAGACTTGTAGGAATTTGGAAAATCGTCCATCTCCGCAAATATGGAGTCATCGATGGTCGATTTTGTTTTGAAGGCGGTTCACGATGTGATCGTGGAGAAGGACTTCATGTACTAATTACTGATCAAGGCGACGAAATAGTAAAAACATTTCAATTAGCCGTAGAGGGAAAATTACCTAGTCGAAATAAAACTATAGGACGTGATCAAGGTTCTCAAGAAAGTCCTCGAAGTCAATTTTCAAGATCAGAAACTAGAGTCAGCAATTTTGTTCCATCTTCATCATACGCGTCAAATCATCATGAGAAATATTATGAATCATGTAAAAATGAGAATTCATCATTTTGGTGTTCTTCTGATAGACCACAGGAAATGGAATCAGAAGAAAATTTTAGCAGTCGAGATTCTATTTCTACTTCGGAATTAATTGAACAACCAAATGATTGGCAAAGATATTCCTTCTCTCGACATGGAAATTCAAAATTAGAAAGATGTGCAAGTTGCATAGGAAAACTTGGAACAATATCAAAATCATCAACATGTGTTACAAATGTCGAAACAACGACCATAAATAATTCTGGAATTCAACATAATAATTTAAGTCATTTAACACATAGAGCACTCGATGGATTATCATTATCGTCATACAGTAGCAGCAGTCACGAGAGTGATTATTCTGTTTCACAAAGAGATGCAATTTCCCAACAAACGGAATGTTGTTCACGTACAAAATTGGAGCAAACTCAATATGTTTGTTCATCATTAAACTCAGGAGTACCTCCAAGACCACCTAAAAATCATGAACTTACAAATGTTGCCAAATTGAAAAAACCACCAATGCCTCTTCCAAGTGCTTGTGCTTGTCTAAAGAAAAAGAATTCTATCCGTAAAAATGATTCTTTCATTGGTCCCTATAATAATTACGATATTCCTAAACCGATATTGGTTCATCGTGTAATTCTCAATCAACCAGAATTACAAAATCAATATTACGATACACCGAGAAAAATTAAAGAGTCATTACCCAATGAATATGCTAATTATGATATGCCACAAGCTGTGATGTTACAACAATGTGGCTGTCCCACAAAATTATCACAAACGCCTCGTGTCTGTCCCTGCCAAAATGTCTTGAGTTGGGCCGGTTTTGTGTTACCATATTGTCGTAGAGGCGCTGGAATTGAATCCACCGGTGTCGCTGTTCAACCAATTCGCCTTTCAGGAGAAGGTAAAATGCCCGTAGTTAATGCTAATAACACAGAAATGAATTTCTTTTCAAAAAATCATAGTATCAACAAAACAGAAGATTGTGAACATTACACTGAAAATGACAAAAGTTCTAAAGCTAATTATGAAAATATTGAACCAATTATTGACACTCAACCCAATGCAAATACACCCAATTACGTTAATATTGACTTTAAGTCTCTTAATTATTATGAAAACAGTAAAGATCTTGTATTAAAAACCGGAATTTCAAAAAATGAATGGAAACAAATTTCTAAGGAACTACAAATACAGGACAATAAAGAGATACATAATTCAAAAAAAGATTCAAAAACTGATTATCTCGAGGTAGAACTTAAAACTCCTAAAAGTCCTACTTCATGCTATCTACCAATGCAACCTGCTTGTTCAAAGCAAGTTTTATCTAGACTCAACAGTGTTAAAAGTTCAAGTAATCCTACTTTATCAGGATCATCTCTCGATGGGATAAGAAAGAGATCAGACTCCGAGTACCGAGTTCCTGGTTCTGCAATTTTATCTAGTCCTCATTTAAGGAGACGTTTAATTGACGTAAACAATAAGAATGAAGAAAGTATTTTACTAAGAAAACGTTCATATTCAGAAGAATCTCGTTTTGTTGATGAGGAAAAATCGACAATTTGCAATTGTCCAAATGAAGTGAATAAAAAAATTCTTCCCAATATTGAAATTAATAAAATAGAAAAAGATTTAATTTCTGGTTCTTGTATTAAAATTCGAAGATCATCTTCCGTTCCTTCAAAATCAGGACATAGTCGAGATTCTTCCAGTAGTAATGATTCAGGTGTATTTACAGGATCAGGTACACAAAAAAATAATGGATTTCACGATTTTGAATGCGCATCTGTTTCAACATCAACACCGTTGAAAAAAAAGCAATCTACTCTTGTCGAAACTTATAAATCATCAGTTTGTTTTCACGATAGTTTACCAAGAAAATCAAAATCAAATGATCTACTAAAAGATATAAGTTTTCAATTTCAAAAAATTACAATGCCCACAAAATCTTCATCTACAGAAACAGATATTCCTTCAAAGGAAACTAAAAGATTTACAAATCCTACTGAAATTACAACAAATAGAATTCCTGATTCGCGTAGCACAAGCAGCGGCACTTCTGATATGTCTGATTATATTGAGACTTTGTCTCTTTCATCACATTCTTCGGCAGAAACACCAGACTGTCTTCGGTTAGTTTTAGCAAAAATAAATAAATTTACTTAATTATTTTTTCAAAATATTTTTATATTTTCTTTTATTTGCAGTCACGAAAGTAGAGGTTTAGCTACAACTTTACGTCCTCGAAATGGCAAAGAATATTATAAAATTGATCGCAGTATTTTGTTAGATTCTGAACGCAATGCAAATTCAGCTTTGACAAATTATGCAAATATCGCTTCAGTTGAAGAGAAAAGTGAATCACCATCACCAGGTTATATGAGTAGTTCACCATTTGAGCGGCAGTCTTTAACAAAAGAACATTTTGTATTTTCTAAGGTAAGTTATTCATACAAATGAATTAATACAATTAATTAATGTAATTTTAATAATTACAGGAATCTTGAACGTGTAACTTCTGAAACAAGTCACTTATCTCAAGTTCCTAGAGATTCCAAATATAACGGATAGGAGGGTAATTACAAAAAATGAGGTTTGATAACTGAACTTATTACAACTAATAACGCGGGTGTTTTTTTGAAAAGGACATGTTTTCTGTTTTTTAATATTTGAAAAATATGAATGTGAAATCACTGTCTTCTTGTAAATTCATTAATTTAAATTTTAATAAGTTATTTTTTTGCACATCAAATGTCGCACAAATATTTTTAAATTTTATTTATTATATAGAGCACCCAATATCTAGAGTATATAGTTGAAATGAAGTCAATAATCAAACACTTCCTACAACGATTTCAAAATTTTCTAAAATTATGCTCAATACAAATTATACTTATACTAATATATTATTACATATTGTACTATAAAAATTCTTTCTCTGCCACTTGATAATGAAAGAAAAAAAAATTTCTTTGTAATGTAGTACAAACATTGCTTTTCGAGTGTCGCTTAATTTACATGAGCAAATTTTCATTCCATTATATCAAATTTCAATAAGACGTGAAAGAATTTAATCAAATCTCAATCTTGGCCACTGTCTTTAAAAAAAAAAAAATTTAAACGATTTAATCCATTTAGCTTTTAGATAACTGTTAAGCTATAGACTGATAGATACTTCTGTTTTTTAAGGATAGATGTAAATTTTAAAGATAGATGATTACTCTATCTTCAGGATGGCCACTAAACGGGAAAACCGTGAATTAGTTTGATTTTTTTTGAGCGAGACGTTTTTCAAGTCATACGATGCTGAATTCAATAAAGTTTTTAGAATTCTCGTTTGATTTCCTATTGTTACATTATTTCCTAATTAGCATAAATGTTTTGTTAATTAATTTCATATCATTTTCATCGAGGGTACTTAAACCTTACTTAAAAGGTTTAAGATATAGATAAAAATACATCATTTAGTGCCCGAGAGTTCTAATATCAAGAGAGTTTTTTAAAAATCTTTTATCCTGTTAATTCTATTATATCAAAAGTGTCAACTCCTACAACTAATTTCCATATTCTATGAAAATGGTTACCCTTCTGCCAATATGGGTGTGTTTCGTAGGTTCTTTACAATGATACCATCATCCCAGCAAATGAAAACTAATTCAGTTGAATTGAAATGAATACACCCTGGCTTCAGTGAATCCCGCTTAGCGACAAATTCGAATTGGAGCTATATTTATTTTATTTTATTGAAATAAATCCAACAGTCACAAAGACTAATTACAGGATTATCAATTACAAATTTTGAAAATGGGACAAATTACTTAATATTAAGGCATCGTATTCTCATTAACTAAATTGAGAACTGCTTTCAAGAATGAATCAAATGATTGATCAAAGACATCAAGAATCATAGGACCATTACTATATATATGTTATTTAAAGTACCACACATACTCAATATAGGTGTTGCTTTGTTTGCACTCCCCATTCCTGAATAAAATGGATTAGACCCCCGCGAAAAGAATTGAGGAACAGCAATAGGAATTTCAGAAAGTAGATAACAGCTATCAAGCGTATTTTTTAAAACTTTAAACAAAAATATTACTGAATCTATCTGTCCTTCTATTTTCGAGCGAGCTTTCATTCATTAAAACTAATTCAATGAACAAACTTTTGTGCTTTAATTTTTTTCAATTCGCAGCCTGAATTCAAGAGACGAGTTGATCATTTTGTTTGAATTCTCAAAACTCATTGATACGAATTGAATTGAATATACAAAAGAACTTCACTGAATCTTACATAGCGTCAAATACGAATTGGACCTTGCCAAAAAAAGTTAATTCATTTCAATTCATCTGAATTAGTTTTGTTACTGGTATGGATTATAGTCAAAATTTTTAATATTGACTGAATCTTGTAACATCTTTCACAAGAAGAGCTCCATTTAATTAATTGAATTTGATCACTCCATGTATCGATATCTATTTCGTGATTATTAAAATCATATCGTTTACGTAATCTTTCTAACATGATTTCCTCAAGTTTTTCATTTTGTGTCATTATTGAAATATTTGTAAATTGACACTTCGATGTAATCTTTTTCGTATTTTATGTTGCTGTATCTTGATTCCTCGATTCCGGTAATGAGTATATAGGTTTTGTAAATGAAAATTCGATGGATAAATTCTCCAACTCGGTCACTGGAGAGTTTATTTTTTGTCATGTTTTGCGCGTTCATATTACTGTTACGTCTCAAATTGAGACAATAATTTTAGAAATAATATTATTATTTTATTTATGTCCGCTTCGGTGATTCAGTGATATTTTCCTGTTTCATTTACAGAGCAGAAGGCTCTAAGCTAAGGGAACTTTTAAGAAAGAGAAATGTATTAAATGACAAGGTTACACTTTATTGTTTGACAAACATTTAGAGTTATAAAATTGTTCTTTTGAGTGAGAGAATCTTGCCCTGTTGAAAATTCCGACCTCGTTTACGACGTCGTATTCTAAGTAGTTTGTGACGTAGTAAACGACGTAGTAAACGACGTAGAAAACGACATAGTAAACGACGTCGTAAATGAAAGCGGAATTTGGGATAGTAAATGACGTCGTTTACTACGTCGTTTACGATGTCGTTTACTACGTCGTTTACGATGTCGTTTACTACGTCGTTTACGATGTCGTTTACTACGTCGTTTACGATGTCGTTTACTACGTCGTTTACGATGTCGTTTACTACGTCGTTTACGATGTCGTTTACGATGTTGCAAAAATTATTTTAATATTATTTATTTAGTAATTTAGTAAGTCCAATATTCAATATTAAAAATTTGAATAATAATTTAAAAAATCAATAATTTAAAAAAAAATTTATTTTTATTATTTTTTAATAGTTATTATTATTATTATTTTATTTTTAATATTTAAATTAAAATAAAAAAATGGTCATCAAAATATTAGTGAAACCATTTCTTCCAAAAAAGAATTTGTCTCAAATCCAATAAAGGAGAGACATCGGGCAGAAAAAAATTTCGACAAAAAAAAAATTTTCGATCACTGCTTATATACCAATCTAATGGCACCTCAACTGCGAGAAACAGTTATGATGTTCGCCCTCCCTGTGGCGTTGAGCGAACTTAAATCCAGAGCTGAGCCATCAGCGCAGCGCGGAAACATTTGAAAAATTTGATTTTATTAGATATTTTATTTTATTTTAAATATGACAAATAATTAACTTAATAAATAACTAATGTCATGAATAATTATTAATAACATAATGTCATACTTAATAATTCGTTAATTAATTATTTTTAACGAAAATTTGACAAAAAAAAAATTGTTGGCCAAAAAAAATATTACCATTAAAAAATAATTTTTTTGTTAAATTTTTGTAGTAAAAAAAATTTTTTCAAGACAATTATTTGTGACCTAAAAAAATATCATGATGAGAATATAATTAACAAAAAAAATTACTCGTAGCACAGAAAAAATTTCACCATGAGAAAATAATTTTTTTAAAATTTTATTTGTAAAAATTTTATTGGTAGCTCAAAAAAAATATCACGATTAGAAAATAATTTTTTGTCAAATTTTCTCTGTAAATAAATTAATTAACTAAATAACGTACCGTAAAACAGGGTTATTTCGCTCATTGCGGGTAAATTCGCTCACCCACTTTTATGCTTTATTTCAGCTTTAAAATAAAGTTTAATACATTTATTACCAGGTTAAAATGTTAAATTTGTTAATAGAAATACTAAATTTTAGTTTAAATCAAATTTAAAGCAAAAAAATGGGTGAGCGACTTTACCCGCATTGAGCGAAATAACCCTGTTTTACGGTAATTATTAGTTACTTCATTTTTTTACTACGAAAATGTAACAAAAAAATATTTGTAGCACAAAAATAATATTAAGATGAGAAATTTAATCAGTTTTAAATTTTCTCTGTAAAAAAATCTTTTGTGGCCTAAAAAAATTATCACGATAAGGATAATAATTATTTAATTAGTTAATTAATTTATTTACAGAGAAAATTTGACAAAAAATTATTTTCTCATCGTGATATTTTTTTTGAGCTACCAATAAATTTTTTACAAATAAAATTTTAAAAAAATTATTTTCTCATGGTGAAATTTTTTCTGTGCTACGAGTAATTTTTTTTGTTAATTATATTCTCATCGTGATATTTTTTTAGGTCACAAATAATTGTCTTGAAAAAATTTTTTTTACTACAAAAATTTAACAAAAAAATTATTTTTTAATGGTAATATTTTTTTTGGCCAACAATTTTTTTTTGTCAAATTTTCGTTAAAAATAATTAATTAACGAATTATTAAGTATGACATTATGTTATTAATAATTATTCATGACATTAGTTATTTATTAAGTTAATTATTTGTCATATTTAAAATAAAATAAAATATCTAATAAAATCAAATTTTTCAAATGTTTCCGCGCTGCGCTGATGGCTCAGCTCTGGACTTAAGTTCGCTCAACGCCACAGGGAGGGCCAACATCATAACTGTTTCTCGCAGTTGAGGTGCCATTAGATTGGTATATAAGCAGTGATCAAAAATTTTTTTCTTGTCGAAATTTTTTTCTGCCCGATGTCTCTCCTACCTATTTATTGGATTTGAGACAAATTCTTTTTTGGAAGAAATGGTTTCACTAATATTTTGATGACCATTTTTTTATTTTAATTTAAATATTAAAAATAAAATAATAATAATAATAACTATTAAAAAATAATAAAAATAAATTTTTTTTTAAATTATTGATTTTTTAAATTATTATTAAAATTTTTAATATTGGATATTGGACTTACTAAATTACTAAATAAATAATATTAAAATAATTTTTGCAACATCGTAAACGACGTAGTAAACGACATCGTAAACGACGTAGTAAACGACGTCATTTACTATCCCAAATTCCGCTTTCATTTACGACGTCGTTTTCTACGTCGTTTACTACGTCGTTTACTACGTCACAAACTACTTAGAATACGACGTCGTAAACGAGGTCGGAATTTTCAACAGGGTGAAGTAACCAATCCAAAGGAGATAACAGTTCAGCATTCCACTGTAACAAGAAATGCAAAGGTTACTACAAATTTACAAGAAGTGTAGGAAAGAGTTAGGGGCCTAAAAGCTTAACTTTAAATTTAGTAGTAAGGTGTGTGAAAAAGGACGCGTGTCCTTCTTATAACAGGAAAAGGCTGGTACTAGCGATGTCGATTAATGACCCTCAGGAAGGTTGACGGCTCCATGTAATGATCACAAGTCCGGAGTTTGAATTGCCGTGACGAAAGACCCAACAATGAGACTCTTCCACAAAGGAAGAATTCCCAAATATAATGGAAACAACAGGTCCTTGTATTATGAGATGATTACTTCTTAATGTTGAGGTTTATAATACTTGTCTTGGAATCATTCGTAAATAGAACTTGAATAAGAAATCGTGCAAGGTAACAAGATTTCGATGAACTGGTGTCAAATATGAAGTAGAAGTAACGTGTACGATGAAGAGTTTTGAACTGAAGTCTCTTGAGAAATGTACACCTGCCCTATAAAAGAGGATTGACGAATTCTCGGAAGTAGGCTGCATTTTCCACCTTTTCATTAAACGAGTTGACCATCTAATCATTGTGTATTAGGGCGACTTATAAGTTGAAGGAATATAGTATTATTTTCGAAACATGTACTCTTAAGATAAGAAGAAAAAATGTATTTTCCTTTTTTTTAATCTTAAAGTTTCTAAGTTCTATCATCGCACTTAATTTCTTTTTTGCTTCTAAAGTTTTGTTAGTTGTTTCCTTTAAAGTAGACGAATTTCAATTTCTGGGCATAACCCACGACGGAAGCAAGAAACTATATCGTTTTCTAATGTTTCTTAGTTTTGGACAATGTACCATCTTTACTCGATAATCTCTATGTATCAAAAATTTGATCTGATAATTCTTTTACTCAATTTGCATAAGACACTTTTCTCTCCCAGATAAAGATTTTCCCCAATTCTCCTTGTAACTGATATATTCTTCTATTGGGTCAAATATTTTTTTGTGTTCCCAATTTTAAAATTGTTTCCTGATATTGATTTTCTGCTCTCGCCTATTAACTTGCTGCGAATTAATTTTACTACATTTTCCTTCACTTGGGGTGAATCTTGCTACATTAATTTTGCTTCATGGCACCTGTCAAGAAATGATTTTAATGGCATATTTTGTCCATCAAACAAAGGCACTAATTCTAACGCATCGCGAAGAAATTAATATTAGAAATTCGAAATGGTTTTTTTCCAAATTTCTTTCCTTCACTATACTGTCGTATTTTACTTTCAAATCCTTCATTTCTTTATCCTTAGACATTATTCTTTTCATCTGCAAGCACATTGCTTGATTCCTTAAAAAGTATCACTTTTATTTTATCCTCCTGCACAGAAAATTAAAAGTCATTAAAATAAGCGTTGCAGCTTATTTTAATACCTTATAATTTTCTGTGTTATAATTAACTGTGACGAAACACAAATTAGAAGAAAAATAGTTCTTCCATAAAAGGAGTAAAAATGTTCCCCTAGGATTATAATAGAGTTGACTTGTCATGAACATAGATGATTTTTCTTCCAAACTGTTGATGGAGAACTTCTTTTACGTCGTAATAGAAATTCCTTTAAGTCCAAACGAATATGAATTTAGGCAGAGTAACATAACTTGGAAACTTAGAAAATTCGTCTATGATGACGATGCGCACCAAGAGGAATTATAGGAAACCTATTTCTTCTGCATATATGGAAAACCGGAAAAAGCAGGGAATTTTTTGTCAAAAGTTTTAGTGGCCAACCTGATATAATTTAACGCAATAATCGTATATCTGCATCTAAATTCAAGTTTTTATATCGATTTTAAAAAGATTATAGTTAAATTTTTTACGATAGGTAAGGGTCATTATTCTTCAGAGGTCATGGGAGTAAAAAAACGATTTAAATCGTCTTTCGGCCTACCGTTTGGCATCCTTTACAGGGTAAACAGGGATTACTATTTCTAGTAATCGCTCTTATTCAGAGTTATACACTTATTGATAGCTACCTTTCCTTGTGAAAATAGCACAGCCAATTAAACAATCACAAAAGATCTCAGTTCGACGAGAGTTCGAGTATTTGATAAATCCAGAATAATTAGTTAATATGGAACTATTATCATAAGTCTTTTTAAAGAAGATTTGAACTTTAAAGTAACCAAGTAGTTCTTTACCTAAATATTTTATATCTAATTTAGAATTACATTATAAAGTTGCCGCTGTCGTTGCACTAAA